GAGCATCAAGATGGGCATGAATGATTAGAATTTCGAGTAGATGAAGACAAACCTTGACTTGCTTGAGGAATAAGGGGAACACGCCATCGTTTGAGTTACATCTTATCAACAACAATTAATGTCCTACTACCACAAAGGAGAGCAACTGAGTTCCCAGTAGATGACTAAGTCTATTCCACTTGAGTTCAAAGAAAGTTAAAATTTTCATTCAATGAAGTGTTTGAGAAAAATAACCCTTGACAGAGGAAGGCACCCTTCAAGTAAGGGTGGATAAAAATAACCCTTAGCAGAGGAAGACACCCTTTACGTAAGTGGTGGGTAAACATCCAAAGGATCTTAAAGGAGAAGCAGGCCAAGCAGACCGCAGTCCAAAAGTGTCCTCATGGAGATACAGGGCAATTATAAATAAAGCATTCGCTAAGAGACGCAGGACAACCATCATAAGTGTCCTAAGGGAGACACATGATAACTGCTAAAAGAGTCCTAAGGGAAACATATGCCAAATAAGTCACCGTCTAAAAAGCGTCCAAGTGAGATGCAAGACAACCACTATAAGCGTTCTAAGGGAGACACAGACTTCTGTGTAAAAGCGTCCTAAGAGAGACGCATGACAACTACTAAAAGCATCTTAGGGGAGACGCATTCCAAACAGGCCACTGTATAAAAAGCATCCTAAGGAAGACGTTGGACGACAACCATAAGCTTCTTAAAGGAGACGCATGCTTCTGTCTAAAAGTGTCTTAAGGGAGATAGATGACAACTATTAAAAGTGTCATATGGGAGATGCAAGACGACCGCCATAAGCATCCTAAGGGAGACACAAACATCTATCCAAAAAACATCCTAAGGGAGACGTAGGAAAATATCCAAAACATCCTAAAGGAAAAACAGAAGAACACCCCTTAGGCAGGTGATGGGTAAATATTCAAGCAAGACACTGGAGTGATTCGCAAGACACAGTGCAAATTGAAGTTAAAGAAAGAACTGAAGTTTTCATAGCAAAAGTGACCGACTGGCTAGAGTTCAACAAAGAATAGGCGATCAACAGATCCAGAAGTTTAAAAATTTTAGTGAGCAGCCGACATGCCCAAGTTCAGCAGATCAAATGAAGTGGTCAACCGAGACCAATACTTAAAGCTTCAAAGCTACAAAGAAGAAAAATTCTTCATCTACTTTGAGACTTGAGTAGGAGACTCCTCCTTGTTGACGTCCTCTTGAGCTCTAGTCTCATCAACTGCATTTCTCTTAGGCTCCTATCTCACCGACAACCTGCTCATCAGCCTCGGCTACCTGCTCATCAACTGTAGCCATCTCATTAGCTTTGGCTACCTGGTCCATAGCATTAACATCTACCTTATCAGCTATGCCCTCCTTGGCTTCATCCTTCTCAACTGCAAGCTCATCAGCCATCATCTTACCAGCTACCTGCTCCTCGGTCGTATCTATGTTCATGAAGATATCCTGCTCAGCTTAAGCAGAAGACTCCCACTAAAAAAACAGTTAAACCTTTCCATCACTAATCGGGAACATGCTTCCTCTTTCATATGCACTGGTCGAGGACTCATTCCTTTCATTGAGCTGATCATCTGAGTCGAGACCATGATGTTTCCATCTCTCAACATCCTTAGTTGGGGGCATACCACCTTCATACTTTCAAGGTCTGGCAAGCTTTGGCCATGTCGGGTTTGAGATCAAGCCTTTTACTAATCTTGTCAAACTGCAAGCAGAAGACATAAGTCGGTTGGCCACAAGAACTCACATTAACAAAGCTTTGGATATATGGGTAAACCAAATCAGCAGTTCGAGACATACGATAGCTAGACATTGCACCAGTCGGCTAGCTCAACAACTACCCAGTCCAACTGACCTAAACACAGCATAGCTGCTTAGGCAATCTCGTGATATGCCCCTACACCAAGCATGAATCTCAAAAGCCTCCTTCCTTCAGGAGCCCAATTCATAAAAGGAGCCCAACCTTCGGAAGGAAGCCTAGATGCAGTTGGAAAGCCTGATAAATATTTCTCATCTCCTCCATGCCACATAAGCGCGATGTAGAAACTGGGGGGCATTTGTGGGACAAATATTTCAGCATCCAATCACAAGGCGTCACGTGGATAAGAAGAATATCTCTTAGGTCAATAATTGTGCTCCATCTAATTGGCCAATTATTTAGACCAAAAATAGAGATATCATCATCAATTAGGGATTTGATTCTTATTAAAGTCTCTAATTGACTTAATCTCTCCATTTAAGGGAAAGAATAATTTCACTCCTTATAGGAATTATTCTTTGAAAAACCCTAGAAGGCTAGAGCACTATAAATACATGGCTACATCACAATTATGAGGTAATCTGATTTATACCCTTGAAATGCCCTCTCTCTCACGCCATTCTCTTCTTCAAGGCTCTGGCCACTCTCATACACGGCTCAGGTCACTCGACCCTCCCCGTGCGAGAAGACCTCCATCCTTTCAATTATCTAAGTATCTTTTTCAAGAACATTTATCTGACTTATGCATATTCGCCTTTGGCCAACACCCCCCCAGGTGTAGTCTATTTACTTTGGTCTTTTTCGCAGGGATTGAGGAAGAGGAGAGAGAAGGAAGATCGAAGATCAAGGAATCAACCCGCGAATATTCCCCTTGCGGAATTTTGCTCAAACACTGACCTCCTTCATGGATTTCTAATATACAAAGTCGGAACTCGTACATACTTAGTGGGAATAGAAAATCAACAGGAGTTAAAATTCTATTTTCCTTAGGAATCGCATGAAAAGATGAATATTCAAAGTTTTAGAACCTGCTGCCTGTTTGTCGATTTCCAACTTGACGTGTTTGAGCGGAAGCAAAATAGGGAATTTCACTATATGGGCTGGTTTTGAGGTTCAAGTAACGTAGAGGAGCTTTCCAAGTGGCTTTGAGAGACTTAATTAGTTTGATTAATTTTTATTTCTTTCTCCTTGTTGAAGAAGGAAGTCCTAATAAGGTTAGAATTAGTAAGCCCATTATTCCTCTTTGTTGGCGGGGAGACTTAGAGCTTGGCTGGATACTGTACAAAAGGCATGCTCATCATCATAGAAAGAGGAGAGAGGGCTTTTGAAAAAGAAGAAAGAGACCACAAAAACATTGAGAGAGGTTTCAGAGAGCTTGCCATGACATGGAGCTAGGGTTTGATGTGGAGTTCTTGAAGATTTCTAAGGTGATGGCGTGGAGCAGAGATCAAGTCATTGATTGGATTTATTCTATGACACTACTTATTATGGTTTTTATTACAGTAGTCATGAACAACTTCTTCTTGCTAGGGCTACGATGTACCCTAGTCATAAATACTCAATTACTTTAGTTAATGCTAATTCCAAGTGTTTTTCCATGTTGAGTATCTATTACTATGCTTAATGCTTTGAATGTTTGGCAATATTTAATTGTTTTGATGCTAAATTGACAACTTGGATGTCCAATTTAGAGTTTTGCTTCTTGTAACAGATGTCATGGGTTACATGATTAGACATGGATGTTTGTCATGACTTATGTGGTTGTTTTGCAGGTCTTCCCAAGAACTTAATGGGCTTTTATTATCTTAATTTCATTATTAGGGACAGAGTGGGTTGATAATAAGGATACTTTTGGTATGACTAGAGATGATGAAGTATCAAATAAATTAGGGAAAATCAATTGTTAACATGGAGAGTAATTAGGATTAACATGCTAAGGGAATTGGGTAGAATTGGCTATAGTGAAATCGGAAGCTCTAGTGCTCTCATAACTTAAATCTCACCACCTTATTTTTATATGCTTGCTTTTATTTATTGTTTTTAGTTCATTAATCATTGAATCTCATTATTTGACTGTTCAAATAAAGTCTAGAGTTAGTCACAATTAGTACTTGATAAATTAAATCACTCTTCGTGGGAACGATACTTCACTTATCTCTAAACTATTGTGTGATTCGTACACTTGCGGAATTGCTCAACAACTTCCATTGCCATGATTTAAGTATGTTATCATATTGATGTTCACATAAATCTTAGCACCAAAGGCTTCATGTGCAACATAAGGTATTTTCCTCAGTCAACAAACTTTTAATTTAAACCTAGCCGAAGAAGATATGCAAAATTGGGTTGCAAACAATAGAACTATTATGGGTGTTTCTTTCTTAAAAGTACTACTTTTGGACTCTGATCACAATTGATTGCACCCCACATGAAGTGGAGAGGAAAGCAATTACCCATCATTCCTTCCTTTATACTCTAATGTTTGCTTGCTACCGACACCACATGAACTCAACGTGTAAAGCAATCATCCAATATTCATTCATTTTTGGCTTCTGATCAGTAGCCCTTGGAGTTTTCCTTCACCAAAAAAACCTGAAAACAAGTGAAAAGTAACAGCTAAAAGGAGAATAACGTCAGTGGGACTACTTGAAAGAAAAAGGAAAAATGTGCATGTGATTAGGATCCAAAGAGATTTAAGAAAAGAAAGAAAATTTACCCACAACTTTCATAACTGCCAAGTTATTTTAAAGTGGACTCTAGTACAACCAGACAGTGATTCTTAGCATGTGGTTTTAGCCTTTTTCTTTTTCTTCTGTTTCGAAATATATATATATTTTTTATAAAACTACAATTACTTATTATTATTAGTAAGCAACTGATCTATTGCAGGGACATGAAAGTGTCGGCACTAAAAAAAAAAAGCATAATGCATTGTACCTGACCCAAAAAAATGCATAATGCAATTTACAAAATTGTTGCTGTTGATGTCTCCATCTTATTTTGTTGGAGCATGTGGTGGTGCGGTCCTTGGATTTTGGTTTTGTCTATTTTGGCGTCGCTTGCATAAAAAGGAGTCTGCTTTTGTTAAAAATAAGGTTTTACCAAATTCAGGACTTAAGTCTGTGATTGACGGTGCTAGGAAGTTTAGAAAGTTAGGAAATTTTGACTCGTTTGTGCTTGAAAACGGCCAGCAATTTACGAAGCGAATCACAAGAAAATATGAATAAGATGCTGAACTAACAAAACAAATTCAATATCAGTCATTTATTGGTCAATTTTCACAAGGTCTAAACTACAAGTTCCCTTTCTTTTGGGTTTTCTTTTCCATCCCTCTCTCTCACTCTCTGTTTTTTTTCCCCTTAACAAAATTGTTTTCTTTTCCTATGTACAAGTTACAATCCAGAGGACTGAAATGATCGAGAAAAAGCAGAGGCACCTCTTCAAGCTTGCAGATAACTCCAATAAAAGATAGAGCTGGGCGCCCGAAAAACCTTGAACAAAAAACTGAGCAGTCAGCAGCCCTCTCTCCCTCACAAGGTGTAAAATCCATCAATACATAATATACAGAAATCATCTCCTTTCTTTGCCTCCAAACCTAAAAAAGCTGCGACTTGTCTCCCTCGTAAAGCTGTCAGAATTGTCTTTCAAAATTGGAATGCCATCAATTCAATGTCGCTGGGGGATTGATTATAGGCATTACTTGCTACTGGCTACTGATGACTCCTCTATTTCATCATAGTGGCTCTCTCTTTGGCACGGAAGTCATCCAAGCTACGGTATACTTCCCTGAGCAAACGATCCAATTCTGGATGTTTCATTAGAGGCTCTTTCTGATCCCGTTGTTCACGATAATGATGAAATGCCCTACACATACACAAGGAATTCAAAATATAAAACGCTACTTAGATGCACATGCTTGGATGACAAAAGGATTACTAGCCAATCACCTATAATTCAAATTCAGTTCAAAACAGTTATACATGAAAATGACATAATTAAAGATCTTCAATTCCTTATGAAACGAGAGCATTTAAACAAAATTTAGTACTTATACTTAATGTTAGCTTTGTTATATGTATTCATCATAAATATAGGTGAAAGTGAGCCCTTCTATAAATCCTCTAAACTAAATGTTTTCATCTCCTTTGTATTATTACCAATTACCACAATATCTACATAAGGCCGTAAGTAATAAAGTCTAAACAGACCGGTCGTGGTGATATCCGTACTTCCTCATAGATTGCATAACTATGCCAAACCAAGCTTTAGGATGTTGCTTCAACCTACACAGTGATTTTCTCAATCTACATGCACTTGCGCTTTAAAAAATGGTAGCAAAACTAGGAAAGAATTCCATTCACTTCCTCCTCAAGATCCCTGAGAAGAAAATCATTCATATCAAAATGCTGGAGGCCAATTCCAAATCTGCAGCCGAGGATAGTAGAACCCGGATGGTATTGATCTTAGCCACAAGTTCAAATAATTCTTGACAATCTATCCTACAAGTCCATGCATAACTCTTCAATTGCTTTCGACCTTTCAATAAAACCATCTACCTCCTGCTTCACCTAAATATCTCCATTTGCAACCAACTACAAGTAGAGTTCTTTTCGAGACCTTCCGTTCCTCAGCCACAGCAGCCTTACAATTAGATTTTCGAAGAACATAAGGCGAGACATAGAGGACCAGGTCGCAAAATCTTTATAAGATGGTGATAAATATTGATAAGACAAATACAGATGGTGACAAACAATAAGACACATGCTTAGATATAGGTTATGGTACAAAATTACCACAAAACTATAACAATAATGAAGAGACTTATGTTCACAGGAAATGGTAACCAGCAGCATTAGTCCCCTTGCTGGGAATCGAGTATCATTAACATGCACATCCATATCAGTTAAATCAATACCAAAAGGTCAACACACGGGTTGGATTCTGCAAACAACTTCAGGATTCACATGAATGGCAATTGATTGGTCAGTTGATTGGTCAACAGGTGCCTTCAGTGTCCAATTCACTACTTCTAAGATAGCATAGTTACCAATTACATCTCTGAAACTTTGGTAACTTATACCAGAACCTCCCTTAATCACACCACGCTCCCCCTGAAGAGAAGTTTCTGGTTCTCCTAAAATGTTTCTTCCCTAAATGAGATATCACCAAAAACAAACATTTTCAGCAAAGGACAGTGATAAAACTTTCCATTCTAAGTGGCAGAATATCCCAAAGATATATACTTAAGGATACAAGGATCAAACTTACCCCAGTGTTCTTTGTGGACATGGATATACTAACAGAACCAAAACACCTTATCAGGAATACAGAGCTAAAATGGGACTGGGCTAAGAACCAAAAAGGGGCTTTGACGAAATTCAATTGATAAGATATGCAGTCGGGAGTTGCATCCCGAGCAGAGAGGTAACCTGAAATGGGATGTATTTGAAAAAGAACGAACACAACCGAAGAACTACAATTGAAACAAGATCAGGATTTATAAGAGCAAGAAAAAACAAGATTATATCTCAAAAAATGAAATGGGAACCAACAACAAAAAGCGAAACGACTTCGAGCATGGCCAGCTCCCATAGTGTGACGGGTGGCGTGTACAAGGCCTGGGAACGAATTCACTGCCATATGGCTGACCAGCGATTACTAGCGATTCCGATTTCATGTAGGCGAATTGCAGCCTACAATTCGAACTGAGGACGGGTTTTTGGAGTTAGCTCACCCTCGCAGGATCACAACCCTTTGTCCAGGCCATTGTAGCATGTGTGTCGCTTAGGGCATAAGGAGCACAATGACTTGACGTCATCCTCACCTTCCTCCGGCTTATCATGGGCAGTCTGCTCAGGGCTCAACGGTGGCAATTAAACACGAGGGTTGCGCTTGTTGCGGGACTTAACCCAACACCTTACAGCACGAGCTGATGACAGCCAAGATTTCATTTCAATTGGAATTTGGTTATTCACCATGTACGAGGATCCCCGCTAAGCATCCATGGCCGAATGGTTAAAGCGCCCAACTCATAATTGGCGAATTCGTGGGTTCAATTCCTACTGGATGCACGCCAATGGGACCCACCAATAAGTCTATTGGAATTGGCTCTGTGTCAATGGAATCTCATCATCCACAAATAACGAATTGGTGTGGTATATTCATATCACAACATATGAACAGTAAGAACTAGCATTCTTATTGAGTCTAGAACTCATAGGGAAGAAAATAGATTTATGGATGGAATCAAATATGCGTTACCCCAGAAAGATTGAGAAACATATATAGCAAAAAGGATCAACAACCTATATACCCCTAAGAGACGCCAATTTTTATGCATAGAAACACCATCCAGTTAGGGTATATATTTTCCTTCAAGAGAAAAAACACAGTTTATTACAAGAAAGCTATGTGAAAAAACGTAGATGAGCCACGAGGTCTCCATAGACAGCCAGTCAAGTCTTGGAGTGGGGTTATAGGCTAGCATTGGTACAAGTAAAATTTCAAGGCCAAACAATCACAACAATGGCAGCAACAACAGGGAGGCAAGGCAGCACCCAACTATTCCATCTAAACCAAGTCTAGCAAGGAAAACTTAAATTTCTGCAGTCTGATACCATGCTATGATGTTAGATAAATCAATTTTTCTTAATCATCTTCATTTACAAAATTCTTTTTTCAGCACGAGATTTCATGGAAATTAACCAAAGTCTTATTAACCTAATCACAAAATTAGAAAATCAATATTTTAAAACACAAGGTTTCATGGAAATGAACCAAAATCTAGTTAACTGTAACAGAACACTATGGTAAATTTTCTAATAGGAAATTCAATTTATTTAGTTATTTTATTTTTTATAATGAAGGTTAAGAATCTATAATTGACTATCCACTCCTCTTTCCATTTAATAACAAATTATTTTAATGTTTAATTCTTTCCTTCAAATATCAACAGAATTCTTAACCCAAAACAATATAATAGCAAGAAAAGAACACCAAGCTCAAAGAAAAAAGCAGCCGATCTGCATAGACATCAGAAAGTTAAAGGAAGTTAGTGTTGAGAATAGTTACCAATACTTTTCAAGGCCATAGAGATTGCCTTTATTGTAAAACTCAACTGTGAGCTGTTCAAAGTCCTTATACAGATCCTCTCTAAAATCCTTCTCCAAACCATAACTGAAATAAGAACACATAGACCCACACGTTAGTGCTAATGTACTGAAGAGAGAAACATACTTAGAATTCTTTGTTAAATAACTGAAAACACAAGTGAAGCTTAAAATTCAAGTGGGGACTGCAAATATTACTAAAACAATGTAAAGAGCACAATTTACCACTAACCTATAGAACCTGAAAAGGCACTCGACTCCATAATTATAACCAGCAGCAGCATCTTCATGTGCGTATTTCCGGAACTCATCATACATTGAAGAGTTGAACATGCTTCTTAGGAAATAAGACCAAAATCTATACAGAGTATTCATTTCCTGCGTGGAAAGTAACAAGAAACACATCTCACTGCAAATCATGGATATTGAAAAGAGACAATGCATAAAAATCCAGACAATTTTATGTAGACAAACTTGCATGACAAACTAAAATGAAAATCCCATTTGTATACTTCAGGCGTGGACCGAAACAGAGGCAGTGGCATTGACATTTAAAGCAACTGCCTTGAAACTCAATTGCAAAGAGAAACAGTTCAGTTACATCCTCACATACAAACGTAAAGATACAACAATTATGTGGAGGTGGAGAACAGAGGATAAAGAATACAAAATTATGTGAGATTGATTTCAGAAGAAATTGAATACTAAATTTAGGTGACAACAATCTAATCATAAATTAAAGCTTTCAACCAATAGAAAAATATTTAAAAAACTACTCTCATTTTTTTCCTTCTTTTAGTATTCTTGGAAAATGAAATTCATATGACAATATAAGTTCAGATAAAAGTCTACCTCACTGCATCCAATTCCCAACTTCTTCCTGTCATTTAGGCAACGCTTATGATACTTTAGGTACCTAAAAGGAAAGACAGCCATGTTAGATAACAAATTTATGCTCTCGCTCTCTCTCTCTCTTCCCCAACCCACCTTGGCCCCCGTCCTTTCTCTGTCTCCTCTATTTCAGTATCTAACACACATACAAGCATGTACACAGATCAAAATTACAAAATTACATCCCTTACTTCTGTTGTTTAAAACCATTTTCTTCTAGAAGCTGATGACTTGGATGCTGAAATGGTGGAAATGATTTTGGCACAGAACCCATCGGTGGACTACTGCTCGAGAGAAACCCATGGGGAGAAACACTCAATTTTGAAGACCTTGGTCTGTAAAATTAAAATCATATTTGGATTAGCTTTGCGGAATCACAAGACCTAATATGCTTAGACACTAAAACATTAGCTTGGTGTTGCAACTATTGTCCCTTGATTTCGAGTTTTGTTAACTACAATTTCTCATCTCACAAGTAAGAAAAACAACTTCTGAATCACTAGGTAGAATTACTCTACTGAAGAAACAAATCCAAAATGTCATAAACAAAAATAACATTCATTTCTAACTAACCCATGACTTTCAGGAGGCGTGGAACTAAAGAAAAAGCCAACAGAGTTACTTGGTGGACTTTCTGATATGATTCCTAGAGAGTTCCGAGCAGTTCCATAATTTCTAAAGTTGCTTGAGAAGAATCTCTGTCTATGGGACGACTGCTGATTTTGGAAGTTTTTACTTTGCTTCTTCCGGGAATTAGCACTTCCTGACTCTTCAATGCCAACACTACAGTTAGATATTTCTCCAGGCTTTAATTTTGAAAAGCCTTTGCCAACGTTTGATAATCTTGAGTTTGCATCTCTATTTTCATAGCTGGAGCTGTTCTTTTTACGATTTGATCTCTTGGTTTTCAGTTCCTGCTAATTGATCATATGTTAGGACAGTGAAAGTACAGTAATTAACAAACTCCATTGGGGTTTTCTCAACCTGCTCATAGAAGTAAAGTCCATCGTTTATAGCAGATGCGAGCTCATTGGAAATGGTTTTTGATTCGTTATCTCCAGTTTTAGATCCTTCACCGACTCTACTATTCTGCACAGCAAACAATGAAATGTCAAATAATCAAAATGCTAAAGACATTAAATTAAAATCCCTTGCATGAAACAAAAGTAAAAGGACCTCATATTCAAAAGACATAAGTTCAAGAAACATCTCTTTTTTATGAGATAGGCAGTTGTTGCATGATTCTTTGGTAGACTAGCAGATTAACACTTTTGATACGACAAAGATGCCTTCACAGCATATACATGCTCTAAAACGCTATTTAGGCATTAAGGGAGTTGCGAAACTAGACAAGCTAGTTGCAATAAATGTAAGTGAAACTGACTGGAATAAGTTTGTTTATTTTTTGGGAAGAATATCCTGATGGTACCCCTGACACATCACCCTTTTCGTCTTACCATACTACAATCTTAAGCACTGGATATACGTCTGATGAGGTTGCACCAACAGAAAACAGATATCAAATAATACATCCAATAACTCAGGGGGGTCGCATTCCTATGTGCAATACTAATATTACTCGTTATGCTTCTTGAGAACATTATACAGTGTTCATGTCTGTTAGATAGAGCATCCAACAAACTTATTGGCTAAGTGGAGAGGCCCAAGACTTTTTATTTATCTATTCGATAAAAAACATAATTTCATTGGCAAGGAACAGAGCAACACAGAGGACAAGTTATCCACTAGACTAGCTAGAAAACGCTAGCTAAATACAACTAAGACTGCAAAACATAGCTAAGCAACAGGACATTGTAATACAAGCCTTAACTTTATTAACGCCACATACTCTCAACACACCCTCATGTGTGGTGTAACTTGAGCCAAACACATTGACTGGACAACTCATGTTGTGTCACATGGAGTGCATGTGGCCATTGGGCTTGACACATGAGAATACCATGTTAGACTTTGTTGGTTTACCACTATTTGCAAGAGCTTAAGCATGAAATATTTAGATATACTTACAATATGAAAAGAGTAATCAGCTCTTTCAAATATACATTTTGTTACTTAATGGCATACCTGAGTGACAATTACAAGTCTCTGGACATCCTGATCATTGACTACAATCTCATCATCTTCATCATCAATCCTTTGGACACCACTGTCATATGAAGAACACATACAATTAGAGGCCGAGCAAGCAGACACTACAACAACGAAGCAGATAGTAAGCTTGCATACCAAATTGCTTGGCCAAGATAAGCCACAAATTTTAGGCTCCAAGTTCCAATTACATTAAATTGAATGGCACCAGTACAGTTCAATCACCAGTTTTTAGTGCACAAACAAACAAAATGTATCTTGGAAGCATACTTTCATCAATAAAGAAATACGAAAAAAAATGAATAAAAGACTGCAGAAAAGAAGAAGAAATAAATGAGAGCAATAAATGTCCACATGCACAGAGTCACTTAATTACAGGTCACAAGGTTTCCAACACAAAAGTCTTCAGATGATAAACAAGAAATTAAAAATAATAATAATTCTCCAGGACATGGTGATTGCTGAGAAACAACATCAAAAGAACATCACTACAAGCACACCCCACTCCCCAAAAAACTGATGAAAAACAATATAGTAATTGGTTTCTTTTTCTCAATATGGCTTTACAATATGAAATAATATTACATTCAGGCACGTAAAAACCAGCAGTTGGAAATTTTAGCTTCTAAGTAAATCCTAATTGCATATTAAAATATAATATACAAAGAGGGATTAAAAGATTGTCCTCTAGACAAAGATATCTCTTCTGGAAAAAGGTAAGTTACAATTACCAGATACAGATACAGAACCGAGTCTTAGCACACATTAGCACACTTGCGGAGGCACGTTATCTATCTTTCCCAGAACTAACCAACAAATTTCAAATAATTCGTAATAAGCCCAAGTCTATTCATTGTCACACCAACCACTTAGGAATGTGAGATTCGTATCTAAGTAATTTGAGTAGGTCAGATTACAAAATGTTGTTGGTGCCTTCATTATTTTCTTCAAAACCAAGTACACCTCACAATCCATTGGGGGCTAGCCCTACAGTACTTATGGTTCTCACATTTAACTAAACTCACCTGTTGCACCCTGGGGTCCCCACCTGTGGCCCCATAGAACGACATTGTACATAAAGCACATCAATCAAATACAAAAAAACAAAAAACAAAAAACATTGAATACCTTCTTCTAACGGGAGAAAGATCATCCTTCTTTATTATTTTCTGCTCAAGCTCTAGCTCTTCATCCAGCATAAATGTGTTTGCAAAATCATTAGACAGGTCACCAACATTCTTCATATCCATATCTGACGGCATGCCTTCCACCCCATCATCATCAAGTCTTACACTTTCAATTCCCTCTGAGTGGTCTAGGCAGTCTGAGTCATGATTCATTTTGACAATTGAGGAATCGCAATTTGATTTAGAAGTCAACTTTCCACTTAAACCAGCATTATAATCTTGTGATCCTCCATCAACCTGAACACCATCAGTGCCATGTTTGGTGTTTGATGGCATGCACAACATCAAAGTTTTTTCATCTGATGCAAGTTCAGCTTTTTCTTCGGAGGTGTTCCTTCCATCATCAATGGAATCACTATTCTCAGGAGCATTGATAGACCTTTCTTGATGTTGAACCAGGGAAGTTTGCGGTTTGGATGTTAACATAGAGTCTGCAGAGGCTGCGGTCCACTTTGACCATTCATCACGTCTCCGTATCTTGTTAGCCTAATCACAGAAAAGAAGCAAAGCATTTTAAAAACATCCATAACTTGTCAGCATATCTCTCAACTTCTCTGAATCCAACATCTTTCATAATTTGAGTAGGCCACCAAAAGTACAAAGGCACCTCAACACAAGTAATTACATAAATGTTCCATTAACCTCAGATTATGAACATTAGGAAGGAAAATTTTCCATTACAGTGGCCTTCACTTCCAAAATGACATGAACCCCCAAACTTAGAAAGGAAAGATCTTTCTTAAAAACAATGAAGAAAAAAATAAAAAAATAAGGTTAAATAAAACAAATGAGAGAGACAGGAAAAATCCATTGTCAGCAAACAATAGACCACAACAATAGATTGTCATTCCATATTCACCATAAAAAATAGGGAGTTTCACTAAAACACCCAAAATGGAGGTTGAAATTATAAAAAAACCCAACACCCAAAACACTTTATAAACACACCCAAAACCCATCATTACACACACTCAAAACTCATTTATAAACACACCCAAAAAGTTGACTTTAGGGTTGATTTTGGGTGTGTTTCTATGTTTAAATAGTGCTTGGGTTTTTTTATAAATACATGTCTAGGATTGGGTTTATTTATAAATTTGTACAAAAAAAATTGTCTGGCTTTGCCGTACCATTGAGCATACAGTACAAGACAAGAAGACATAAACATCAGGATAAGTGCTAGAAAGAAGATTAACCTGCACTTCTACAGTAGCTGAACCCAGCAGTGAATCAATGATAAACGTTATGTCGGTACACATTTTTTTAACCTGCAACACAAAATATAAAAAAATTAGCTTATTTACATTATTGCAAGCCACAAAACAGGAGGGCATATATCATCTAATCTAATATATCACACAGCAAAACATCGGTAAAATTGATCAGCATGTATTACTTAGCTTCTACATATGCACTATGGTACCGAAACATACCCTTTTAAAGTCCGCAATCGTGGTTATTGGAACCCATCCTTCGTCATCCATCAATGAAATTAGGTAATGGTCATTCTTTAGATTTTCATCACTGCCAAAAGGAGATTAATAGAGTCAATTAATAATAAAAGCAACATCTGTAACATCTATCTATACTATAAGAGAACACTCCTTGTCTTCTATGGTGTGCAGAAAGGCTGCGGATAACAGATAATTGCAATAAGTCAGTTAAAATCTGGGATACTTTTGTCTTTACATACAACCCCACTGTTTCTCTCACATCCATATATTTCTCTTCCTCCAATAACTTCAACAAGCGCATGTGCTTACTTTTCTAGTATATACAAATTCACTGCTTTTCATTGTAATAATGTATATTTTAAGAACTTCTCCAGGTCTAGGTCCGTTGAAGAGTCCCAACTTTTCAGAGAAGTTTCTGATGAGATCCAACTTTTTAGAGGGTCGAGAATGTGTTTATGCTACTCATTGAAATCCAGATCTATTCACTTCTTGCTTTTGGAATTTATACTGCCCATTATAGAGAGTTGAAAACGTGCTTCACTATGGAAAAGCTTGACTTTCATAAGCAACTTACCTGAAATAATACTCTATTTGTTTAATAATATTGTCCCTCAAAGAGAATGTATGTGTTTCTGAGGGTAGTAATGGAGCCCCTGGATTTAAAGGATGTGGCATAAAGCGAGGAGGATGAGGTCCTCTAATTGCGCCAGGTGGTGGAACTGGAAGATAGCATATGGGTGCAGGACCTGTGTAATTGATATAAACACGAATAAAACATAAGGTAATAAACACAAAGTAAAGATCAGCAGCAGCTAAGTGTTAGGAGATTCATTGAGCACATTGATTTCTCCATTTTTTCAATTAAGTGAATTCAAGTATACTGGTGACACTGGAAATAGTCAGATACCAAGGGGAAAATGGAAAATTTGTTAAAAATAATACACATAATTGAAAACAAAATAAGACAGCTCAGCACTGGCATGCTATAATTACCAGGAATGCTTGGGCCGACCATGAATCCTGGAGCTGGACCAAAAAAATGAGGTCTTAAGAAAGGCCTAGGTCCAACACCCTGTTGCACAGGAATGTTCTCTCTGGGGTTAAATGGTCGTTGATGATTCCAAGTATGATTCCAATGGCCACCAGGTTCTGGCAAATTGGGTCTTCTGGTAGAAAAATTGGCACTATAAGCATTTGGATTCCCTCGTGGTTGAGGCTGAACTGGTTGCACAAAAGCTTGCACTGGGGTCTCACATCCAGATTTTGCAATATGATTTTCAACACTTGGAATGGGTCCAGGGTATGGCTGGTAAGCATACCCAGAAGCAGCAATGTGTGGATGCTGTACCATAGTATGAAAAACAGGAGGAAGCGGTGGTTGATGGTAAGGTAAGGGTACTGGAAAAGGAGGTGCAGCATTTGGGTTGCGCCTAGGGCCTTTTTGGTGATGTTGTGATGATGAATGCTTGTGTGAAGCATTAGAATTTCCAGACCCATTTGACTTCTGCTGCATGACAAATCCCTGGATGACCAACCAAAACATTTAAAAGCAAATACAGTTAATGACCAGATGAACTAAAGTACCATGTATTCTTTTGTTTTTGAACTATTGCTCATTTTTAATAGGAATGAAATAAATTAATAAAATAACAATGTTCATGAACAGGTGGCAGACCCTAACACTTGAAATTCTAAATAACCAATCCAATGTTAAGCGTATCTCTCAAAGCACTAGTGCCAGACACATCAAGTAACCAGGTATGGCAGGAAGGGGGAGAACAAGAAATCGAAGACCAGCGAGCCACTTTGGTAATGAATCTCTAAAAAATTTATGTTCTAGTCCTTCAAGACAATGCAAAATCTGTATTTTAGCAGGCCATTTAGAAGAACTTTTTTAAAGTAAATTCCAGTAAGTGCCCAAATATTCAGATACATGGACTGAGTATGTAACAGTTAAATTCTGGGTTATCCTAGTACAATATTAACTTTTGAAGGGTTGCCAAATATTTTTTTGAAAAAAAGTGAAAATCATTTGCTTTGATTGTAATTTTGGTTTCGATTTTATTAAGCTCTCTAGTTATTAATCTTTTATTTGAAGTTATATTATACTCTGAGATGTTTTCTTCAAAAAATACAATATTTAGGACATCTATAAAGACATGAATATGCGAATTTAATTTTCTTTAAATAATTTTTGCCAAACAAAAATGATAATTTAATTAATTACACAAAACTATTCTCCTAAGAAAACATAAATAAATTATGCAAATAAAAATGACCATTTTCTAAGGTTTCAATGCAGAGATAAAACATTACTGAATTAGCCGTGCATGTTCCATAGTTTTAAACTTTTCCAACATGTAGCAAACAGGTTTGGGTTATTTTGTAGTTCTGCAGCCAAACAATAGCTTTCTCTTATCTTCATGGAAGCTGTCCCATGGAAAACCACTTATGGAAACAAACGGACCCTAAAAAAGATTCCAAAAAATCAGATATTCAGCAATTGACAATTTACCTGAGAAGGCAAAGGAGACGGCTCTGCGACTGGCGGCTTCGCCGGCGCATCTGAATTTTTGGGCCTGTGGGCGTCGGCCAGAGCAGGCCAGGACTCAGCCCCCATGACGGGAGCATCCTCGGCAGCCTTGGCGTCGACCGTGACCGGAGTCTTCCATGGGGACTTGGGCCCACCTCCATTGACATTGAGGTCCCTCTGGTCATCCCCAGCCTCATTCTCAGCCATCACCATCACTCCTCCGATCTCACCAAAACCAAAATTCCTTTCCTCTCCTTTCCTTTGCTCAACGAAGAGAACAGAGGCAGTGGCAGTGGCAGTGGCAGTGACACTGTTAAAGGGGGAAAATTGGGGGGGAGAGCGTGGAACGGAGTAACAAGAGAGAGCAAAACGCGCGCTTTGTAGTGTTTCATCTTGTCATGGGTTTGGTGGGCGCTAGGGTTTTAAGGAGAGTGACAAAGAGAGAGCGAGAGAGAGAGAGAGTTTGTGTAAGAGAGGAGAGAGAGATTGACAGTTGCGGTTGCGGACGCCAACAAAGTGCGCGAGCTGTTGAAAAGCGTGTGTAGGTTTTTTTGGTCCTTTTTATTTGAGGATCTACTGACGCTGAGTCAATAGGGTGTTGTCTATTGATAGACTACTGTTTGGCTACTTCCACACTATTACAGTTCTTCTCAACCTCTTATTTGGAAATTTATGCGGGTGTGGAAGCAGTCCAAAATGTGTCTGCAAAAGTAGAGAGAGAGGGTAAGCTGCCTTCCACTTCCTACATTTTCTACATTACAAATAGGGGTGAGCATCAATCCGGCTGATCTGGTCAATCCGGCCGATCTGACCAAATCGGCCAAACCAAACCGGAGTGGTTTGGTTCAACTGCAATTTTAAGCTTAAAAAACTATGTTACTCTGAACCGAATCGTTTAAATATTAATTACATGTGTCAATGATTGAGTGGCTAATTAGAGGTGTTAGTGTACACCCAGCCGCACTGAATTGGACTCGAAACCACTTATTTTCGGACTCCAACCTCACTCACATATGATCTCATCTCATCTCAAAGGCTCCTCTTCCTTGAACACGTAGCCTCACTCAACCCACTAGAACCCTAGAGAAGCCACCATTGATTTGAACCACTACAACCTTCGCTGCTTCAATCAAACCCATTCTCACATCGCAGAAACCTCGTCGGTGTCGCACCTCCATCATCGCACAACCATCGTCATCATTGCACAACCATTGTCATCGTTGCACACTGTGCGACCCACAGCCAGTGTCATCATCGCACAACCATCGTCATCGTCGCACAACTAGTGTCGTCATCGCACAACCATCGTCATCGTCACATAGCCATCGTTGCACAACCATCATTATCGTCGCACAACCATCGTCAAAAGCTGTTTCATGAAATGGGTTATCTTGTGTAGATCTCTCCAACTTTGTTTTTGGGAAATTTAAGAGGAGATGTTGAAAGCTGGAGCATTGGATCTTATATCGAGTCTTGGTGAAAAGCTTGCCAAATATCATATTTCTCTCTGCTATTGAAAAGTACTTCCACTCTCTCTCTAGACAATGATCCATTGGGCCTATAACATATCTCCCTATACAAACTTTGATTCCATATCTCTCCTTTTATTCGAACCCACTTCAACCTCCACCCACCGTCAGGCGTCACAGATCTGATTCTCCAGCTTCAACCTCCATTGATTCAAACGTGCTCCTCTCAGTGCCAACAATGGATGGAGCTAACTCAGTACCAACGATGGATGAAGCTAACTCAGTGCCAACGATGGTGAGTTCTTCTAATTTATTTAATGTTCATGATGATGTGCAATTTGTCTGATTAAGGTGCAATTTATTTAATGTACAATTTGTCTGATTATATATATATAGGTAAACCAGGGGGTGGAAGATGGTTTTGCTTCTAATCAGCCACCACCTATAACTGAATCTGCACCAACGATTGTGACCTCTCAAGCTCAGACTGGTGCATCTGATCAACTTCCGTCATTTCCTTCCCAAAAAAAGAGAAAACCGACTAGGAAACCAAGTGAGGTGTGGAATCACTTTGAACAATATTAAATTGGTAATCCTTCTCAACCTATTAGGGTTTAGATGCAAGTATTGCAAAACTGCTGACCATAAATATGATCCAGCAACTTGTGGGACATCAAGTTTGAGAACTCATATTACTAATTTATGCACACACAAAAATACACATATAGGGTGTCTGGTTCAAACCAAAAGGTCCTAACTTTTGCCAAGGACCAATCTGGAAGTATTATCGCTCTTGGGGCAACGGGATTTAATAAGGAAGAATTTAGGAAAACATGTCTTAGGATGGTTATTATTGATGAGTTGCCATTTAGTTTCGTAGATGGAGAAGGGTTTCGTCACTTTTGTAGTGTTGCATGCCCTAGGTTTATGCCACCATCTCGTAGAACACTTGCTAGAGATTTGCTTGGACTTTACGATAATGAAAAGTAACTTTTGAAAGAAAAGTTAGCTGCATATAGAGTTTGCCTTATTACTGACACATGGACTTCTGTCCAAAATATAAACTATATGGTTCTCACTGCACATTTTCTAGATAGTGATCGAATGTTGCATAAGCGTGTGTTGAATTTTTATGTAATTCAAAATCGGAAGGGCAGGACAATTGGCAAACTTATTGAGAAGTGTTTGATTGATGGGGTATAAAGAGAGCACTCATAATTATAATGCATCTGCAAATGATAAAGCTGTATCTTATTTACAAAGTAAGATGAAGGATTGGGCGAATGGAGGTTTGTTGTTAGATGGTGTCCACTTACATATGAGATGTTGTGCTCATATTGTAAATCTCATTGTAACTGATGGTTTGAAAGAGTTACATAATTCTGTTAAGAGTATTTGTGATGTTGTCATGTATGTAAGATCTTCCCCCCAAAGATTAGAAACTTTTAAATCTTGCATTGAAAAAGATAAGATTGATTGTAAAGGCGTGGTTGTCTTGCATGTGCCAACTAGGTGGAATTCCACCTACATGATGCTAGAAGCTGCTTTGAAATTTAAAAAAGGCTTTTTCTAGGTTGGAAGATGAGGATGGAAATTTTGAAAGCTACTTTGGCAGAGAGAATAGGCCACCAATTGAGGAGGATTGGGCAAATGTTGTTGTCTTTGTCAAGTTTTAAAAAAGTTTTATACTTCACTTTGAGGTGTAGTGTGAAGACCTGTATTTTAAACAAATAAAAGAAGATATTTGTCTTTTGGATAAATTTAGATGATATTATTTTTTTAAGATATTTATCTTTTGGATAAACTTGGATAATCTTATCTTGTTAGGATATTTATCTTTTGGATAAACTTGGATGTTCTTATCCTTTTAATATTGAAGTTGTAGGGACTAATTCGTTCTGGCATCTACTATGGGCCTGGGTTGCTGTAAAGAGACAAGTATGTGAAAATTGCCCCTGGGTTTGAGTTGAAGAATCAGACTCTAAGAATGCTTCGAAAGGGTAGCTGAGCTTTAGGAAGCACTTTGGTTACCTTCACCAGCAAAACTAACAGTCGCTTATAGATAAATTCTTAACTTGGCATGAGAGGTTTGTAGCATGGAAGCAAAGCTGTCATGAGTTTAGCATTGAAGAGAGAGAGAGCTGTGAGTTCTTGGGGGAAAAATGGGTGTCAAGGTAAGGGAAGAAAAGATTGTAAGAGGGTTTGGCTAAGAAGATGGGGGAGACAAGGAGAGGGCAATGGGTGGCTTAAGTGTTTTTCCGGCAGCTCGATAAAGGTTTTGTCAAGTACTGGAACAGTCTGCCAAGAGAGAAAAATGGGGGGAGAAGGATGAACAGAGCACGAAATTGCTAAGTTTTGAAGATGAGAGAGGAAGCTTGCTCTCTGGATGTGTGTGTTGTTGATGGGTAGGAGGTGCTTCATTTATAGCCGCTAGAAGCTCCTTCTTTCCAAGAAACCCTAATGGTTTCTATCCAATTTGGCCAAGTTTTTCCTTTCCTTTCTCTTCTCTTCCTTTGACTCATCCTATTTGGTGAAATTCTCTTTGACCAATGGAACAAAAACAAAGTTTTGGGAGCTCTAGGCTTTTCCCACAACTGCTTCAGTGGGGGACTCCTATTTTCAGTCATCTCCTTTCCTTCTTTTCTTCCCCCTTCCATGGCTAGATCTGGTGGGGGGAATAAATGGGTATATATGCTGGTTTGAAGGGTGCCTCCCCTCCTAGCGGTCTGCGCGCACCAATACCCCTTAGATCTTTGAATGCTCCTGCTTGAAATTCGTTCCTCCCCTCCTCCCTGTGTTGGAGCCTCCCAGTAGCCTTGCATACATGGATATCTTGGCTCCTTTCGTAACCCTTGTTCTCCAGCCAAGTGCTGGGGCTTTTGCATATTCTCATTTTGGTTGCATGGGCCTTCTAGAACAATAAGTTGGTTTATCTCACCCACATATTTGGGCTCAAGAAATGGGCTTGAGTCTTGAGGCTCCCAAGCAGCCCAAGACTTCGATTTCTCAGCCTATCAATGGGCCTCATGACAACTTGTTACCATCCATACCATAACTCACTCAAGCAAGCCCCAGACATTTGATTGGCTTGGGCTCACTTAAGCTTGTAGCATGGTTGGGTGTGAAATAATAATTTTCTACTTGGCATGACATGTCAATCGACGTGCTTTAATTTTATCATCCTTGAAAAGGGACATGATGCTTGATGGGGTAATTAGTATGGGCTCGTAGAGTCAGTGTATTTTATAAGCTTATCTCCATTCCTAACATGATGGATTATTTATTTGCCATGGCACGTGGACTGTGACCGTGTGCTCTAAATCGGGTCTTTTCTTAATGAGGCATTGTACTGGGCCGAGAATTTATTCGGGCTCAATCGTGGATTTTTTGGGCCTCAACAGAAGTTTATCCTATCCCTATAAGCACTATAAATAGGAGCATAACCTTATAGTTTCAAAACATGAGAAATTAGAAAGAAGGAGACAGAGTGGTGATGAAACTCTTGGAGCTTGGTTTGGGTGATAGTACATGAAGATAGGTAGATGGGTTGTCTTGCCAATTTATTTTAAGGGCTGTCATTATCAAGGTGAGTGGTTTATGTAATGTGTTCTAAAAGTTCTTATTTTGTGATAAAATATGAAAACCATGAATTATCATGGATTTGTTATATTTACAAATGTCTCTCTATTTCAAGTCAAGCATGTCTAATTTGATGTAATCTTTCACACTATATATATATATTGGAATATTTATGAAGTATGTATTATTCATGGAACATGAGAACTTCAATGTTGGAGTATCCGATGAATAGATGTACCACACGGGAACATAGGGCAGTGAGGCCAATAGGGGTCACGTGGTTGGTTACGTGCTATGAAGGATAACTAAGAT